ATCTTTAATATTAAGGAAGATAATAGAGATAATAAAGATAGTAAGGTTAGCTATATAGTAAAGACTAGTCCTTAAGATAATAATAATAGATTAATATATTTAATAGGGCATTACTATAACGCCTATAAAGAATATTAATAGTATAATAGATAAGCTAGTGTCTTAGATAGAGAATTCTAGCTTAAGAGAATATAAGAGAGTATATCTCTTTCTAAAGATATACCCTATAGAAGCAAGAATAGAAGATAAAAAGGGGATATAAATACTTATACCTTAGGTAGCTAAATAGAAGGTATAAGGACATATAATTAAAAGAGAGTATAGTAGTTAGATTGTTAACTATTTGCTTACTTAGAGAGAGAAGGAAAAAGGAAACTAGAAACAAGAAGAATTCTAGCCCTTATATAGCTATACTTAGCTTACTAGAATACCTTATAATTACGTAAGCTACTTATAAATTAACCCTTAGTTACGTAGCCTAATAACGTTAAGTAAATAACCCTAACTTGAAGTAATAACCTTATAAGAAGTAATAGAGTTAGAAGGTAGGGTCTTAAGAGATCTTAGACATTCTAGTACCTTCTCTAATCTTTAGTTAATTACGTAATTAGACATACTTACGTAGTTAGGATGTATATTAATTTACTAGGTTAGTAGGCTATAAATATATATATATTATATATAGATAATCTCTATAATAGAGGAAATATAAGATAAAGAAGTATAAGAATACTTGGCGTCTGCCATGATAATTCATCAGGAAAAGTGTGATCCCTTTCATAGTTATAGTCCTCACGACTCTGCCCCTTACAACTGCTGAATCCTTTGTGCTCAACCACTTTACATTATGTGACCATCATAAGTTTACACGCAGAAATTCTATTAGGTTATATAGATAATAAGAGGTAAAAAATACACTATAGACTATATTAGGCCTATCTATAAACATAGCGTATATAAGAGAACTATTATAATCTTAACTATTACCTTGATAATTAGTATTATAGATTAACGCTAATCTGCTAGAGAAACTATAGCTAATTAACTATAGATCTACTAGGGATCTATAGAGTAATTACCTAGCTATCTTATTACGTAACACCTATAATAGTTTCTTCTCTTTACGTATAATTTAGAACTAGTATTTACCCCTATCATTTATTAATTACCTATTAATATATATAGTTAACTATGTTACTACCTTAGTGATTCTAATACTTATACTTTACTTACTATATAACTATTTAGTAATAAAAGCCTTATTAGCCTTATTAACCTTATTAGTAGCTATATAGAAGTCTAGTGTATTAAATCCTTTTAATAGTGTTATTTTCTATTTATTTTTTATTAAGTTATTATATAAACGTTTTTAGTATTAATATATATAAGAAGTAAGTAGTATATACACCTATAAACCTACTACCTATATTATTATAAAGTATTCTCCTTTTACTATAGTAATATCTATATAAAATAAAGAAGCCTAATTAAACTTAGCTGTCTAGGCTATAAAACAAAACCTAAAACTTAGTGCTTAGGCTATAGTAAAGATCTACTTAGTCCCCTTAAGTATACTTTACTAATAATTAAAGGGTACACTATTATAATATAACACTATACTAAACTTATAAAATTTAACTATACTTAAAGAAAAAAAAGCTAGTTAAGTATATTCTTAACCTAGATTCTTAATTATTTCCTCTTTAGATTAGTAGTATAAAAGATATAGCTAATTAACTACTTACTAACTATAATATACCCTCTATTAGGAAGCACTAGGCCTTAAACTTTATAAAGTAATAACTATAGCTTTAAATATATTTTTTTAGAAGTATAACTATAAAAAAGCCTAACATAAAGATCTTAATATAATAAATATATAGTTCTTTTTTATAGTAAATATAATTATAAAATATAGTATTATAAAGCTAGATATCTATAACTTTAATAAGACTAGGTTTATAATAGGCTAGATTATAGCTAGAATAGTTATTATAAGTACTAAAAGGCGTTTAAATATAAAAATAATATAACTTAGTAATTATAAATAGGTTATAGTTATTTAGGCTATTAGTTTATTTAGTTACTATATTCTATTATATATTATTATTATAAGCTAATATTATCTTTTTACTTACTATATAAAAACTAGTTTTTTATATAACTAGGCTATTATAATATCTAAAAATAAATAAATAATAAATAAAAAAGGCCTAAATTAGGCCTAGCACTTTAAATAGTATATAAAGCTATATATAAAAAGTTAATATTACCTTCTTATTATTAATAGTTATAAAGGTTACTACTTTATAAATTTTAAGCTATTTTACTAAAAAAGAAATATTATTACTTTTTATATACTACCTTATCTATTTTATTTACTTTAGCCCTTAGATATTAAATATTTTAGGCCTTTAAAAATAGCTTATAGTTAAGAAATTAAGGAAAAAATATACTAAAGAAATACCTATATTATAAAAAAAGACTTTCTTTTTATATTTTATAAGGCTTTTATAAAAGTAATTATAAAAAAGAATATTTAAAGAGGTTTTAAGGGGGCTAGACTTATCCCTCTAAGTATAAAAAGTGTACTTTTAAGCTTAATATTAAGCTATATACTTTAATACCCTTAAGGTCCCTCTTAATAACACCTGCTCTATAGACTTCTTAAACACTAAATAACCTAATAAAAGTATTTTTTTTAGTTTAAACTTATTAAAAAAAAATCTCTAACTAGTAGAATATTGACGTTGGGTCCAACGTGTGGTGTTCGTGGGTACTAAGACGATCCGGATATGTAATTTCGCATTCAAGTTCCTCGAGGAAATCTAAGACAGCGGTGAACGTTGGGTTCCCGCGAATGCGTCTGACGAGACTAAGTCGCGTGCAGCTCGTGCCCTTTCTGTAACTACAAATAAAACGTATTAAAGTAGTAGTTATTAACTAAGGACTAAGATAAGCTAATAGTAATATAGCGTCTATAGAAACACTAGTTATAATATATAAACGTATTAGTTTAATAAAGAAATATCTAGAGAGGAGGATTTTAAGTAGTTTTAATTAATTTAATTATTTTATTATTAATATCTCTTATATAATATATTAGGGGTACTATTAGGTATACTACTTACTTATTTATACTACTTACTTATTTATACTACTTACTTATTTATACTACTTACTTATTATATATATTATACTTTAATTATTACTTATATTTAAGCCTATTAGGTATTAAGTTTTAAGTAGCTATAGTTTATTTATACTAGCTATATATTAGTAATATATTAGTAATTAGTTAGTATATTTAGTATTATTTTAATTTATTTTACTTATACTACTTACTTAAGAGAGATAAAAGCTTAAGAATTATAAAAATATTAGCTATAGGCACTTAACTAGGTAAGGCTTAATAGTAGGTATTAGTATATTATAAGACTTAAGCTTATAGATTCCTCCTATATATATAGGACTATAGATAGAATCTATAGTAAGAGTAAGTTACTAAGCGTAAAGTAACTAATTACTAAGAGCTATAGCTACTACTATAAATCCTATTATAATAAATAAGAAAAAAACTTTACCTTTAGTAAGCTTATAGGTAATAAATAGGCTATTATATTAGTAATAAGAAATAACTTAGTAAGAATAAAAGAAATATATATAAATAAAAAGTTAGCTAGTAAGCTTTATAGGCTTATAATAAAAAGAAAAGTTAAAAGTAAATAGTTACCAATTAATAGTAAGTTAGTATATAAAGTAAGGTGTTTTTTATAGTTAGGTAGAGGACTTCTTATATAGTAATAAAGTTAATTTACTTATGTAAGGGATATAAATTTATACTACTTTTACTATATTAAGGGGATATAACTACTAGGTAATATAAATTAACTTATAATAGGCGTATAGCGTAATCTTACTATAAAGCTATTTATAAATAAGATTCTTAGTAACTAATTAGGGCTACTATAAATAATTAATAAAGAAATTACCTCTTTTAGTAGTACCTTACTAATCTATAGTACTAAATAGTAGTATTTAACTACTAATTAGTGTTAGGATTACTAAGGTAGTAATATAGTTAACTATATATATTAATTAGTAGTAATAAATAATAGGGGTAAATACTGGTTCTAAATTATGCATAAAGAGGAGAAACTACGGATATTGTGGGTGTTACGCGGCGAAATGGCTAGGTAATCACCCTGTGGATCCCTAGTGGATCCACAGTCAATCGGCTGTAGTTTCTCCGGCGGATCGGCGTTAGTTCGTAACGCCGATCATCCAGGCGATGGTCAACATTGCAACATAAACATCTGCCCCTTAATAGGCCGATCGGCGATGGCTGTGGGCAGTGGGGATAGTTATAGAGACAATTTGAACAATTAATTAACGCAAGGATTATCGCTGCCAATTAACGCGCTTTGACAGTTAGTAATAATGTTAAAATTAATAGCAGTTACTAAGAAAATAACATTCTAAATTAATGTATTGTTATGTATTGCTTAAAGCGAGGGGTAAAAGTTGGGGAGGGTCCACCAAGGGGTTAATGTAGTCCGGTGGCAATTAAAGGGATATACACCTACTACATTAACTGCCTTGGGGGGGTTGTTGATTACGGAATTTCCACTGATTGTATAAAATAGGTTCCTTATACGGCAGCTCATCTTCGGTTTTGAAACACTTAGCGGTAGTCTCTAATGTGTTATCCTGGACCATTTGTGTAGGTATCAGCATTTGGATATACCCGTCTGGGTAATCTCTTATTTGAGACAGCCGTAAGGCGTGGTTCGGGGATACTGTCCTGTCCAGTTGTCCTTCTACGTAGGCCGCAGTTTTGATCTCGGGCATATCCCATAAACTCTTAGGGATCCAAACTTTCGGTGCCTGACCAAGTGGGCCCGCCTCTGCCAACACATAACACCACCTATTTAAGGTATTACATACTTAATTAGTTTTCCATTCACCCACACATCCATAATCAATGTGTTATATGTTACTTACCAGTCGCGTCTCCCAGCAGCATAGCCATTCACCTTCATAGAGAGGTAAACGCCGTTACCAATCTGGGCTCCCCCCTCTTTATTTGCCTTGGTATCATACCTGGGGTCACGGAAGATGTTGCTACGCCGATTGATTTCAGATGCTTCGCGCTATTTGGCGGTTTAACTGAAGAGTCTTTTGTGAAGGGGCATGCTTAACTTACCCGGCTCACCCGTCGATAGCCAATTAGAACTTTAGAAGCCAGCGCGACATTAAACAGGCTGATAAGAAGCACGAGGTGCTTAAAAGTAATTAAGACCATGTTGGTAAATATAGTGGAGGATCTGGGAAAGCACAAGAAGCGTACGCAAACTTGAGGGAAAACGAACAATAGGGAGGTGGACTTGCAAACAATACTGGTACTGTAACTCAACTGTAGTGAAGAGCAAGAAGCTAGTAGTACTTATACTTAGTAGACTAGAGTATTTAGTTTAAAGAAACGCATTAACTGTATATCATTAAGACAGTAAAAATAGGAATTTATTAATTTGCTTTCATGCGTGCCGTACTAGTAGTAGGTCCTGTACGCTTGGCAGGCGGTCGGCATTTCCTGAACACGAGTAATAGGCAGTGTATCATTAATTCACTAACCAAATTCCATAGCATTCATTCAATTGCAATATAGGAATAGGGGTAGTAGGCCATAAGGCATAACTTAATACTGCTAATAAATACCGCCGGACAGCAGATAACTATATTATAGCCTATACTATTATAATGTTAACTATTACCTAGATATTAGTAATATAGACTAATAGTAATATAACTAGAATTAGTAAATAATAGGGATTATAATAGTTAATTAATTATATTATTATAGGTGTAACTATAGTAAAAATCTTATAGAAATAAGGAAATCTATAAAGGGTTAGCCTAGTCACCCTTTATAAGGCCATATGTGGTGTATTTCAGGAACTTAGTGCCTGAACTAGTTAATCTTTTGGTCTATTAGCTTAATAGTCTATTAACAGGCGTGGCACACCACCTATACCTTTACAATTATTCAGGCACTAAGTGGGTCTTCTGGCTACTGAAAAATAGCGTTGGGTTTGATTCCTAGTTGTGGCATCTGTGAGGGCGCTCTAGAAGCGCATAGGCTGCTCCACCTGTGTATGTACTAGAAGAGACGTAGCAGTTAGCCTAGCTTACGTTAGGCTTAGAGGGACTAATATATAGGAGGTAAGCCTAGCGCTAGCTAGGGGTCCCCTAGCTGCTACTAGGTGCCAGGCGCCTAGGGCCTTTAGGGTTAATATAAAGATCTTATAATTATATAAGGCTAGTTAATACTAATATAGAATATAATTATAAAGTATAAGATATAAAATTATAATGGAGCAGGGTAGGGCGATCAGCCCAGAGTGAGGTAGTATGCGGACCGATCGGAAGATTCTAATCCCGATCGAGTACGAAGATATAAGTCAGCATCGATAGGTTCAGAGATAGACACGCACAATTCATCCTTCATACTCATACCTACCTTCTGATCGAACGAGAGCCTCTCTATGATTTACTTTTGATCGTGATAACACAAGACGATTGGGAGCAATTGCCTACCTGATCGGGGCACAATCATGCTTGATCCTACAGTTTGACACTTACGATCAATGTCAATTCTGGACAGATCAATGCGATTTGTGCACCGATCGGTAAGGAATCTTATGTTGCTTTTGGTGGTTATGGTGTTCTATGTAGTCACCGCACCGCAAGAGTCCCTTATACCCTATGCGCTTTTAATAATATTTATAATTTTAATAACACTAGGTTTTTAATAAGAATACTATTATATATAAAAGTTATTATAACCTCTAACTATAAAAGAAGGCCTTATATAAAGTAGTATAGTAATTAAATATAGGTTTTTATTATTTAAGGTATATATATATATAGCTAGATAATACCTTTATATATTATTATAAAAAGTAAATATTACTTTTTCTCTTAGTACTAAAATAGCTAATTCCTAGCTAAATAGTATATTTACTTAAGTAAGAATAAATAACTAATAAATAAAATTAGCCTAAATTAGTTAAATTATTTTAACTAGTATATAAAGTCTTATA